TCAATCTCTTTACATTTCCAGCATTTATTATCAGGCAAGTGGTAAATTTTTGCAAGCTTGACTGGGGTCATGTACCACCTATAAATCATTTTCATAATATTTTCTTTTAAGGCATTACATGCCATAAATTTCATACCGGTGGTCCACAACCGTTCCCAGTCAGCAAACATAATGTTATGACCAATATCCTGTGTCCACTTGATCATGGCTGATTTAACCGTTTCATCCTGTGTATTCCATTTCAACAGTAAGTTATACATTTTTGACAAGTTATTAGTTTTGGGTTCTAACAATTCTGTCTCCAATTTTGATTTTTCCACCTGGAAGCCAATTTTCCTGTCTAACTTGTAAGCCTCCATTACAAACAGGTTGTCACTTTCTTTTTCTATATTTGCTTCATATGCCAGAATGTTCTCTCTCCTTCCCCTCAAATGCTCCAGGCGACCACAGATGAGTGTCTAAAGAGAAACCAAAAGCTCAGAGTTTTTGGGGGGGTGAAGCCTTGAACATCAGGTTGCCTCCTAGTGCCTGGGGGGCCAGCTATTAGATTTCTATTTGGTAAGTGTTGTAGGAGTTTTAAGGTTTTTTAGCTGTATATTTAAAAAACAAGGCTCTAGTGAGATGTTTCATTATTTTGTTATTCTGACATTGTATTGCACAGGAGACCTTTGCACAGCTGTTTGAATTTTTTAATGAAAAAAATAAGAATGCATTCTAAAGGGTTTCTTTAGAAGCGGAACAAGTATTTTATTTTATTTTTTATAACAGAGGAAATGATGCCCAATTCTTAGTGCTCATCCTGGCTTTAAGATTAGCAGTCACACCCTCACAAAAAGCTATGAAAGGATTTTGTTAGCAAGATTCAAGGTGAATTCCTGCCTTATTTTCCAGGGCTGCTTCTTCCTTGAAAACCAAAAATTTAAAAGATGATGCTGTTAATGTGCTACACTCAATATGCCAGCAACTTTGTAAAACTCAGCAGTGGCCAGAGGATTGGAGAAAGTCAGTCTGTATCCCAATCCCAAAGAAGGGCAGTGCCAAAGAATGTTCCAACTTCCGCACAATTGCGCTCATTTCACACGCTAGCAAGGTTATGCTTAAAATTCTACAAGGCAGGCTTAAGCAGTATGTGGACTGAGAACTCCCAGAAGTGCAAGCTGGATTTCAAAGGGGCAGAGGAACCAGAGACCAAATTGCAAACATGCTGGATTATGGAGAAAGCTAGAGAGTTCCAGAAAGACATCTACTTCTGCTTCATTGACTACGCAAAAGCATCTCACTGTGTCGACCACAGCAAACTATGGCAAGTTCTTAAAGAAATGGGAGTGCCTGATAACCTCATCTGTCTCCTGTGTGTTAGGGAAAAATCTAGGTGTGAGGCTGTTCAGTCAAACCAGCTCGTTGGGAAGTGCCCGCAGGTCCCTTGCGGAATAAAGGAAGCAATCCAGCCACCAACTGGAGCAAATAGCTGTAGACCAAAGTTTATTGCGCAACAGGCTAAAAGAGGAATTTTGTACCCCGAGCATGGGGTGACAAAGACTTTTAAAACTTCCCCACAATATCCCAGAATACTGTTTGTAGAGCATTATTGCTATATCATTGTTACATCACTGACATGTCACAAAAGGGGAGGTGTAGACAGGGGTTACACTAGTTTAACCTTGGCAAACATGTCCAGACAAGTCCTTGGTACAAGATTAGCATAAGCAGACATGTCAGGGCAAGACTCCCGTATAAGATTAGCATAGGCCAACACCTCTGAAGTCCCATCACCCAAAGTACAATAGACCTTCCTTTGCATGCCTGGCCCCTTGGCAAGTTTGGTGATAGGATTAGGCTTTCCTTGGCCCAGCTCAGCAATTGTCACCCCTGGACACTTCCTGGAGTCCTTTTTCAAGGGGAAAATAGCTTTGGAATGGAGGAAACTGGCAAAGGAATTGATTTTATATTATTTTTAAAGCTAGGTAACTTCCCTGAGCTGTCAAGTTGAAAGGATTGAAAGGATACATTCAGGCATAATATTTGTAACATTTAACAACTTTAAAGATGTGCTCACTCCCCCCCCCCCAAATTTCCATAACATGAGAAATCTCTATGTGGGACAAGAAGCTACAGTTAGAACTGGATATAGAATAACTGATTGGTTCAAAATTCGGATAGAGTATGACAAGGCTGTATATTGTCTCCCCGCTTATTTAATTTATATGCGGAATTCAACATGCGAAAGCCTGGAGTGGATGAATCCCAAGCCAGAATTAAGATTGCTGGAAGAAATATCAACAACCTCAGTTATGCAGATGCCACAACCTTGATGGCAGAAAGGGAGGAGGAATTAAAGAACCTCTTAATGAGAGTGAAAAAGGAGAGCACAAAATTTGGTCTGAAGCTCATCATCATAAAAATGAAGTTCATGGCCACTGGTCCCATCACCTCCTGGGCAAATAGAAGGGGAAGAAATTGAGGCAGTGAGAGATTTTACTTTCTTGGGCTCCATGATCACTGCAGATGGTGACAGCAGTCACGAAATTAAAAAGCGCCTGCTTCTTGGGAGAAAAGCAATGACAAACCTAGACAGCATCTTAAAAAGCAGAGACATCACCTTGCCAACAAAGGTACGTATAGTAAAAGCTATGGTTTTCCCAGTAGTGATGTATGGAAGTGAGAGCTGGACCATAAAGAAGGCTGATCGCCAAAGAATTGATGCTTTTGAATTATGGTGCTGGAGGAGACTCTTGAGAGTCCCATGGACTGCAAGATGATCAAACGTATCCATTCTGAAGGAAATCAGGCCTGAGTGCTCAGGGGAAGGACAGATCGTGAAGCTGAGGCTCCAATACTTTGGCCACCTCATGAGAAGAGAAGACTCCCTGGAAAAGACCCTGAAGTTGGGAAAGATGGAGGGCACAAGGAGAAGGGGACGACAGAGGACGAAATGGTTGGACAGTGTTCTGAAAGCTACCAGCATGAGTTTGACCAAGCTGCGGGAGGCAGTGGAAGACAGGAGTGCCTGGTGTGCTCTGGTCCATGGGGTCACGAAGAGTCGGACACAACTAAATAATTAAACAACAACAAACTTGCCAATTGAACCTTATATTGGCCCGTTTGACAAGACCAGCTGCCATGTTTGAGTTGTTGTTTTTTTTTTTTAGGGGGGGGAGGCTTAAGCATCATTTTGGGAGGCAGCAAACGGTGAGCTTTAAGAACTGTGGAATTGGTTATCTGTCACATGAGAAACAAGGCCTGATTCCCGCCCCCACCCCTTAATCCTCTCTAGCTATTTGCTGATGCATCAACCCTGATGGAGCTCAATATATTCCTAGTTCCACGAATTCCTGTCAAAACTGTCACAAGGTGGTATCAACCATAAAATTTCCCTACTATTTTCAACACATCTGACAAATTGATTCAAATCAACATTCATAAGCATGGAAACAAAATGTTGATGCTCCCCTAAGTTTCCTTGGTTGTCCACTTCCAATCTCAGCTCTTGGCAGACTGTTTCTGAACTGGGAGGCAATGGCTGGTTCCTGTCACCTGACAGCTGGAGGTTTCCAGAGAGAGAGTGCAGAGAGCTGGGGAACCAGATGCTGAAACTTCAGCTAGAGTTCAACAACACAGGTGCTTGCTATATGCAATTTGGAGACAAAGAATCCTTTATTTTCAGTCAGATTCAGAACTATTTCATGTCCTCTTACCCATGAATTACAATTCTGTTCCACACTCCCCTCATCAAGCCCACCACAAGATATATTGCTTTCACGCACACAGCAACCCTGCGAGGGAGGTTTCGCATAAAGATGGTGACCAGCTTTAAGTCACCCAATCGGCTTCACGACTGAGGAGGGATTTGAATTGTCCCCGGCATTTGTGGACCTAGATCCTTGGACTCCAGCTCCCATAAGCCCCAGCCAGTGTGGCCAATGGCTAAAGAAGATGTGAGTTACAATATCACATCATCTGGAGGGGCCACAGGTTGCCCAACAGGTCCATTTTCAGTGCCTTGACCTTCTCCTGGCGCAGCTGCCCTTGGAACTCCTCGTACTGAATGTGCTTCGTCCTGTAGTGCCTCTGCAGGTTGGCCTTCTTCAGGACGGAGAGGGCCTCACCACAAATGAGGCTCAAGGGAATGCCTTTCAGCTCCAGAAAGAAATAGTCGGGTGTCCATCTTTTTTGAAAATGCGGCACTCCAAATCTACCTCTTCTTGTGGACACATTGATTGTGTCCAGAAACAGACAAATTAGGCAGATGGAGCTGTTCTAATATGAGAGTCCTATGCTGCCTATACTTGGTCAGTAATGTGTCTGCATCTCTTTGAGCCATTGAAGTTTCTGAGCTCTTTTCAAAGGCAGTCCCAGGTAGAGTGTGTTAAAGTAACTGCTACGAAATGTGGCACCAGACTGCTTTCTTTTCTTGTAATTATCTGTTTGTCTTAAATTTTATAGCTTAAATTCTCTTGATGCTTGTTTTTTTGAGAAGGGCCTCTTATGGTCACAAAGCAATGATTTTCAGTGCAGCTCCATAACACTGATTGCACCCTCACACTGCCCCTTTTTGTGTGGGGATTTGGATCCAGAAAAGGAGCAGACGGGGAAAGGTTAAGCGGAATCCCACCCACCCGCTGCGCCACCCTTAGGTGTGCTCAGCCTTCACCTGCTTCATGACTCCACCTTGCATGAGAAGGCAGGATGGAGCTCTAGGAAACAGAAAGTGGTCCTTCAACCAGCCAGGACATCTCACCATCACAGACTGATCCAGTCTACTACTGTGGAGTCAAGAGTGGCCCTGGGATGGCAGAAAGAGGAGGGGAGGGGGCCAGGGACAGAAGGAATGGCAGGGCTCCAGATGCTCCCTTGGACCCCTCCCCTGACACCAAGGGGACCACCTCTTCTGGGGCTGAAAGCATTGGCATGGTTTGATTTTGTCAGTATTGCAAGGAAGCATAGAAGGAAAGGTAAAAAACACCTATGCGGTTTATTAAAGTATCTGTGATTTTCCCCCTGTGTGAGTTCGTTGATGTCTTCTAAGTGCTCTACTTTCACTGAAGTTCTTTCCACATTCAATACATTGAAATGGTTTCTCCCCTGTATGAGTTCGTTGGTGTATTCTAAGTGATCCCCTATCACTGAAGCTCTTTTCACATTCCATACATTGAAATGGTTTCTCCCCCGTGTGACTTTGTTGGTGTCTTCTAAGTTTCCCACTTGTACTGAAGCTCTTTCCACATTCAATACATTTAAATGGCTTCTCCCCTGTGTGAGTTCGTTGGTGTATTCTAAGTGATCCACTATCACTGAAGCTCTTTCCACATTCAATACATTTAAATGGTTTCTCCCCTGTGTGAGTTCGTTGGTGTATTCTAAGTGATCCACTATCACTGAAGCTCTTTCCACATACAGTACATTTAAATGGTTTCTCCCCAGTGTGAGTTCGTTGGTGTATTCTAAGTGATCCCCTATCACTGAAGCTCTTTCCACATTCCATACATTGAAATGGTTTCTCCCCTGTGTGAGTTCGTTGGTGTATTCTAAGTTTCCCACTTGTACTGAAGCTCTTTCCACATTCAATACATTTAAATGGTTTTTCCCTTGTATGAGTTCGTTGGTGTATTCTAAGTGTATCATTTCGACTGAAGCTCTTTCCACATTCAATACATCTAAATGGTTTCTCCCCTGTATGAGTTCGTTGGTGTACTCTAAGTTTCCCACTTGTACTGAAGCTCTTTCCACATTCAATACATCTAAATGGTTTCTCCCCTGTGTGAGTTCGTTGGTGTATTCCAAGTGTTTGACTTTCACTGAAGCTCTTTCCACATTCAAAACATTCAAATCGTTTTTCTCGTTTGTGAGTTTTTTGTTGTATCCTCAATTTCTTTGTTTCCCCCCATAAATTCACATGTGGCTCCATAGAATTCTGACCTTCATCTTCCTCACCTGTTTGGGAGTCTGGGAGGAAAGAGAATCGTGTTAGACTTTCAATAAAGACAAAAAGGGAACTGAACACATGTCAATCCCAATCTGCACCTTCTCTCATTGTAACACCTTCATTCTCCACTATCCTCTCTAGGTTCCAAATTTTCCGAAAGCTGATGAGATAGTGGCAAGAGCAACACGTGACCACTCCATTCAAACTTAATACATCAGCATCATTTTATAATACAGATCTATGGTGGAATTGGCTTATTAGACACATCTATTTTGTCTTTCTGAAGTGAAGAAATGATCTCAGGCTCAAGTAACAGTATCTCCCTTATGAAATAAATAAAACTTAAAGGCTACATGTAACTGTAAAAATATTGCAATACATTGGAACCTAAGAAGAGCCTTCTAGATCAGGCAAAGGCCCACCTAGTCCAGCATCCTCTTCTCACAGAGGCCAACCAGATGCCTGTGGGAAACCGTCAAGCAGGATTGGAGCACAAGAGTCTTCTCTGCCTTCGTGTGCTTTCCAGAAACTAGTATCAAGAAGCATTATTGCCTAGACCACAAGGGCAGAGCAGAGACATCAGTCTTACCCTTTTTTTCAAGCTATCCATGTTGCTGGCCGTCACTGTCTCCTGTAGGATGGATTCCATAGATGAACTATGCCTCTGTTTTTTCATCTTTGCAGCCCTTAAAAGCTGATAAATGTATTATGGCCTAAGCTTTTGTGGGCTGCAGTCTGACAAAGTGGACTCTTGACCAGGAAAGCTGGTGCCACCTCTGAGTCTCTTTGTTGGCTTTGTGTACTTATTTTGAAATTTGCACCAAGGTTGTACCACAGTATCTCCAAGGAAGCTTAGGAACGGACAAAATTACAGGGTGTCAGCTCCGTGAATCTCAAGCCTCTCGTGGCTCCTCTGACAGAGCCTGAGAACGCAAGAGATGTGATTCGATTGGAATGTGAAGCAGGAGAGGAGCAGCCAAGCTGCAGCAGGAGGAAAGAAGAAAGAGCAGGAAGAGGGGGTGCCGGGGGGTGGGGGCACAGACCGTTAGCTCCAGTTTGAGCTCTAACACAGAGACCCCAGAAATAGCCTGTCCCAAAAATCGTAGGCTCGAGAGAATCTGCGAGAAGAGGGGGCTTCTTTGCTGGAGGACTCGGCAACTGCAAGCTGGGATGAACAAGCCGAAGACTGAGCTCCACAGTGATTTATGAGTTTGGGCAATAAACCTGAGATAATTACTACTGGAGTTTTCTCGCGTCTGTGCGGGAGAACCAAGCCATTACACAGGGGCACTATAAATTATTATCCCGCTCACTCACTCCCACAAACAACCCCAGTCTGTAAGATTGGCAAGTTTATTCCAGACACTCTTGGACTTAATATACCGAATCCTAAGTGTAGAGCCTCCAGCCAACAGGAATTGTGTATCATGATAATGGGTCCTTTGTCCCTTAAGCCCACCAAACTGGGGAGGTGCATGCATCTATTGTGTTTTAATGCTGGTAGAATGTATCATTCTTACGCTGTCTATAAAAATAAGAGTAATAGAAACAATTTAAATACATTAATTATAAATAATTATGCGAAGCATTTCCGTTCCCCTTCACCCATTTTTCAGGATTGGTGTTCAACATCATTATCATCAATTATTCCCGCCATGGAAATAACATCTAAGATTTCAAAGCCTGGAGGAAGAAAATCTGCCCCCACTACTTTAGGAAAAGGATTCAAGAAACAAAGAGCTGCTTTGGAGAAGGCCTCACCCCTTCCTTCTTCCTGTCAGGAACTTCCTTCCATTTGTCTCCTCTCCATCTTTTCCTCTTTCTCCCTCCACCTTCCATCTATCCCTGTCCCCATCTCCTCTCCCTTGGAACTCACCAGATTTCTCCAAGGGTCCTGGGAGGGAATGCTCAGAGGTTGTGGGGAGGGATGCGGGAGACAGCCTGACCAGGTCACCCATCCATCTTCCTCCTTCCATCTTGGCCAGGGTTGCAGGTTCAGTCTCAGCTAGGTTTGCAGGTTCAGCTTCCTGAGGAGCGCAGAAGCCAGAGCCAGTTGCAGCTTCCTGGGAGGGAGGGAAGAAGAAGAAGCCAAGGGAGTCTGAGAGCCCCTGCAGGGATTCTCCTGCCCAAGACATTCTGTTGCCCCTGAAGAAGCCCCAATTGGGCACCCCCTTCCCAAGAGCCCCCACCCATTTTCAAACAGTTTTGGCAATTCCTTTCACCTGCCTGTCCCACCTCCCTTCCTGAGAGTAGATCTCAAGAGTTGTTTACACCACGTGATCCCTTAAAGAGGGCAATTCTTTAAAACTGAAGGCCATTTGTACAAAATGGAAGACTTTATTTATACAAAATGGAAGGCAGCCTTTTACAAGGAAATTTTTGATGGTTTTTATTTTGTTGGAAGCTACCCAGATGGGCAGAGGCAACCCAGTCAGATAGGCAGGATGCAAGTAATAATAATAACAATAATAATAATTGTTTCCTGTCCTGGGACAGGATGTCCCGGGACGCCGGTGGTGCTGTGAGTTAAACCATAGAGCCTAGGACTTGCCGATAAGAAGGTCGGTGGTTCGATTCCCCACAACGGGGTCACCTCCCGTTGCTCGGTCCCTGCTCCTGCCAACCTAGCAGTTCGAAAGCACGTCAAAGTGCAAGCAGATAAATAGGTACCGCTCCGGCAGGAAGGTAAACGGCGTTTCCGTGCGCTGCTCTCCTTCGCAAGAAGTGGCTTAGTCATGCTGGCCACATGACCCGGAAGGTGTACGCTGGCTCCCTCGCCAGTAAAGTGAGATGAGCGCCGCAACCCCAGAGTCGGTCACGACTGGACCTAATGGTCATGGGTCCCTTTACCTTTTTAAGCCTGTCCTGCTAGGCATGCTGATCAGAGACTCTGTCCAAACAACCCCTTCAAATGCAACAGGGCTTCCTATTTTTACTGCTATCAGTGGGAACAGTCAAATCACGAAGCCACTGATCAACCAGAATTTCCTGTTTTTACCAAGTACAGTTTGAAGTTAGCTTAATATCCCAGCTTATTCCAAAGCTGGCAGCCGTAGTTTCCTGGTTTGGGCAAAATGGAAAGTTTGTTAGTTATGGCTCATAAGAGACTGCCTGGTTTCATCACAGTTCACCCTCAGGACCGGCCCAATCATGAGGTAACTGGGACAATTAGGTCAGGAGCAGATGCAGGGAGAGATGGGACAAGCACATTCCCAGCTCCCCTGTTTGTTAGCCTTGCTGTCAGTGCAGGACCACAGCTCGTAAATTCGTGCAACTACCCATTTAGAGTCCTTTTCTTTTGCCCTCTCTCACTGAAGGTTGGGTGGGAGTCCTCCCTGGAGTGATGTATTCTGGTTGTGGGGGCCAGGAGACTGTGGTGGTGGGGGCTAGAGTTTTTTGTTTTAAACTTGGGTCAACTTAGGCTTCAGCGTAACTTTGCTGCAGCAATGCATTAAAAACTGTGCCTATTTTTAACGCAGCTTTTCAGGCTGTGATTTAGTCATCTGAACCTGGCCATTATCCTAATAAATCTTGCAACAATCTTGCAATGTAGGCCAGTCATCTTTAATGCGACTACACATGGGATTTCTGAGGAATTTATTGGATTTCTGAGGCTGCGAGACGTGCCAAGATTTTTCCTCAGTGGGGAGAAAAGAGCATTTTGCAAATGGAGGCAATTTAGAGGAGGAAAATGGGGGTTGGTGGAAGGTCACCTCTTCTCACACAGCTCATGCTCTGATGAAATTCAGAGTCCCCTGTGGTTGCTTTAGTAAAGTAACAACATCAGGAGATATGATCGCAAACCTCCCATGTGTAAGAAAGTTTGGTCTAGCAAGCCCTTTTAAAGTGGATTAGAGAGAAAGTGCAGGGAGGAGGAATATTCACCACAATAGCTAGACAGAACCTCCATGTCGAGAGGCAGTGGACCTGTGACCTCCAGGTGCTGGAAACCCAGGTGAGAGGAGGGTACTTACCTTTCCCAGAAGCCCTCAGTGTCTGGGAGCAGGGTCTGGTCTGCTCCCCCTGCTCTCCCACTGGGCCACCGACTGGCATCCGCAGCTCCCCTGAAAGAGAGGACACCATCCCTGGAGTGGGGAGAACTGGGAGCCTGTGGGGTTTCCCACCCTGGACGAGGGGGCTGCATCGTCTTCAGGAAATCCTGCTTCTGGGCCTCCAACTGCTGCTGCGGCTGCCCCTCCTCTGCCTCGTGCTTAATTTGACATAAATCTGCCCGAGGCAGAAGATCCCTGATGGTCCCAACTTGGCCGGCAGGAGGTTTATTTCCTTTGCACTCCAGTCTCTCCCTTTGAATGGGTCTCCTGGGTCTCTGCTCTTCCATTTTCAAATGACTCCACCCAGGGACGAGGGGAAGTTATCCAAAGACTGGGGAAAACATCAAGGTTTATGGAAGTACAAATAATATTTGGGGGTGGGGGAACCAAGGCAGTGGAAGGAAATCCAAAAACAACCCAGTGAGAGGACTGAGCATGTTCAGTGGACAGGGAATGCTGATCCTGGCTGCAACTTCTAGCATGTTGGAAAGGCAGCAACAGATCTTTGTATATGATTAAGGCTGCGACAGACCCACCTAACATTGAAAGTACATGACTTCACCCAAGAAATCCAGCGAGCTGCAGTTTGTTAGGGGTGTTGAGAGCTGTAGCAATAAACTACAGGTCCTGTGGTTCTCTGGGGGAAGCCACGTGCTTTAAATGTATGGTATCTGCACAGCCTAAGAAACAAACTGACAAACGGAATATTGACCAACAAAATCAAAGAACTCACTCCAAAATATTTTATATTTGATGGTCACAAACTCTCTTGACTGAAGACATTCTAACTTGCAGTCCATTGGCTGCATATGATTTGCCAAGCCTCAGGGTGTGTCCTGCTAGTCCCTGCCGTTTCCATCTCCTGATCTGATCATAGGATGAAGATCTCTGTCTGTCCTGAAGAGAAAGATGCCTAAGGGCCCTTAGAAAGATCTTTTAAACTCCAATTTCACCACAAAGCAGCACAGTGCTGAAATGGGGTAAAAGCCCTGCTCTGGAAATAAATGATCCCTCGGGCTGCTCTTTAAAGGATTTCTAAAGAACGATCATTAGGGTCTTTTCCCCACAGATCTCATTGCTAATTCAGCAGGGTCTTCTTGTGCTCTTATTTCTCCTCCAGCCCAGCACTGGGGTTGGAAGGTCTAAACATGCTGATTGTGTTTGCAAGACTTGTGTGTATGCTAGATGGCGTGTCTGGTGAGTGTGGGCAGCACCTCTGGTGAGTGTGTGCATGTGACTTTATGGTCTGCATCTCTTTTATGGGTGCACATGCATGTGCATACATTGGCCACAAAGCTCACTGGAATGTGGCCTCCAGAATCAATACAGCTTTAAGCCCATAAATGTTTCGTTCCTCCTGCTCTATCAGAAAGAACAATCAAATCTGAGACTATCAGGAGGAGAGAACTCCTGGGTCTCCAGGGTTAATGCTCTCAACATCATATGGACACAAACTGCAATGAGATTTCCCTTTAATTGCTTTGAGATTTTTCCCTCAAAAATATGAAGCAGTATAGAAATGAAATGAGTAATAATCTGAACATGAATAATCTGAACATAGAATCCTCCTTTCCTCTGCCTTCTCAAATGTGGCACTCACTTCAACCCTCAGCCTTCATTTGCCTTACTGAGGAAGGTGGAAATAAAACAATTAATGAAACCAGGCTTAAGCCTGTCCCACTTATTTACACGCAGACACAAGAGGTCACTAGCTTTGACAGCTTGGGAAAAGATCAGATGCATTCTCTGGAGTATAGATCTATCAGCTGTTTTAATTGCCGTGACAGAACAACAGAGCCTCCATGTGTAGGCACAGTGTACCTTGATTTGGGGCAGGCAAAAGAAGCCATGTCCTTGCGAAATGAATCTGATGGACATCATTGCCACAAGATGCGGTGATGGTGGTGGCAAAGAGAGTTTCAAAGGCGATCATTCTAATTCACCAAGGAGGGCGATAGGTTTATCAATGGCAGTGGCAGAGGAGGGGGGGCAGGAGTAGTGGCCTGCAAAGGGTGTCAGGGGGCTGCAGAGTGAGAGGGGGCCCCCTGCTGCACTTTCCCCCCTGCCTCGCCTTCCCTCTCCCCCGTGGGGAGGACCGTCGAAATGGGCTGGGCTCCCTGATGAGGGACAGGGAGAGGGGAGGCAAAAGTCCCAGGTACGCCGCTGATCCGTGAGCGACTATATGCATCGTCCATCGCGAAGCAGCAGCTGCCTTGGACCCCTCATTCTGCCCCTTGAGCTCAGGACTGAAGGGAGCAGCTCCCCAGGGTCTCCGGCAGGGTCCGTGCCAGCCTGAGCCAGAGATGTTTGCCCCTGTGCCCTCCTGCAGATGCCCTGCCCCTCAGCTGCGCCCCTTCCCCTTCCTGCCCGGTTGGGGGGCGCCCTGCAGCCTCTGACTCCACTCGGGGCCTGATCCTGTCAGGCGCACCTCCTCCTCCCCTCCTCCTCCCCTTCCCGCCTCCTGCACCTCGGACTCCTCGCTCCGTCCCTGCACCGGAATCCGGCTCCTCTCCGGGGAAACTCGCCAGGCCACGGGCCGCTGCTCCTCCGCTCTCCTCGGCGGGGGACAGGAAAGTGCAGCCGCTCTCGAGTCCCCCTGGCTGGCCCCGTTTCCTGCCTCTCTGGGCATCGGAGCTCGCTGGCTGTGGGTTGGGCCCTGGGAGGCTGCGAGGCTTGCGCTGTCCCTCAAAAATTATTGTATCATTGGAATCTACCTGGCATTTTATATGCCATCCAGAATGTTGCACAAATAAGTCTCCTTGTGATCCGATGTGCAGTCACTGGTTTCCTCATCACTAAATATTTTCAGAAAGCTGGGACGATGCCACCCTGCAGCCATAGCTGTCAATTTCAGATTTGAAAATAAGGGATCAGCAGCCTCACCTGCCCCGGGGACAGTCTACAGGATATCTAACAATCCGGGATAGCAGCGGGAAATGGCACTGGAATAAGGGAATTTCCCGCAAAAAAAGGGAAGGTTGACAGCTATGCCTGCAGCTCGAATGGGTAGCTGGAGGAGGCAGTCCAGTTCCCAGCTCTGCTGGTTGGGATCATGCAGTCACTTAGCTCCAGCAACCGACCTTTCCAAACCCTCCAACATTTCTCTCATGAAAATAGGGACATCCCATTCCATAAATATAATTTTCCTATTTATACACCACCCATCTTATTACGTTGCCCCAGCCACTCTGGGAAGTTTCCAACAAATATAAAAAAACATAATAAAACATTAAACATTAAAAAACTTTCCTATACAAGATTGCCTTCAGAGGGCCGGGAGTTGGATAACTCCATTCTCTAATTCTAAACAGTGGCACTTGGAGGGTTTGTCTTTCCCTGCTTTTTCATTCACTGCCTCTGGTCTCCTGCATCAATTTAGCAGAGGAGGGGAGCGTTTTTGGCTTTCATACTTCTCCACTCCCCACCCCACCCCACCCCCAATATAACCAAAAGCACAATATAACCAAAAACACACACACCATTTGGGAGTGAGGACCAAAAAAATAAAATCGTTTTATATATTTTATTACTTATTTTTGCATTTTAATCTACTGTAGCTATAAATTTTATTGTTTATAGCCAATGGCCACCACAATACAATATGAGCACAAATCACACAGCTGCAAAACAAAAGACATTGCATGCACCAGACCAGGATAAATCTATACCGTCCAAAATTTATTTTCACATTTCTTTCAATGGGAAGGATATAGGGCAGCAGAGCCAAGTTGGTGAGGTCCAGAGTGGAGTTTCTATCATCCTTGACTGTCTGCCCTGCTGGCTGAAGCTGATGGGAATTTTACAACAACATCTGGGGACATCTCAATGACTATTCTGTGATACACAAAACCTACAAAGGATTAAGGCACTGATCCAGAAGAGAATGAACTGAGAAGAGGCCCCACTGAATTATCTGAAGTGAAACAGAGGAAGATCATTAAATAATATAATAATAATAATAATAATAATAATAATAATAATAATAATAATTTATTATTTATACTCCGCCCATCTGGCTGAGTTTCCCCAGCCACTTTGGGAGGCTTCCAATCAAGTGTTAAAAACAGTACAGCATTAAATATCAAAAACTTCCCTAAACAGGGCTGCCTTCAGATGTCTTTTAGGATAGGATAGCTGCTTATTTCCTTCACATCTGAAGGGTGGGTGTTGGCTTCCTAACTATAAGCTACTCTGTTTGGATATCATAAAAATTCACAGACAGACAGACTTTAATGTTGTATACAGTGTAAGGTTGGGGAATTGAGAGGGGGGAGGGGTAGTACACTTTCATTATTTTACAAAGTTCATATGCAAGGTGTTTGTGTCAGTGTGACATGGGTAGCTTCTCTTCCTATTCATTTATTACTTTTCTTTGGCAGTGAGAAAGATTGGGGGGCCCAGGGCATAGTTGGTTGCCTTCAGTGACTGCAGTAAAGGTGGTGGAGGCTGAACCATTTTGAGGAAGAGATTGTTGTAATTCTTGGTTTGGTCCTTCAAGTAAAGGTAAAGGGACCCCAGACCATTAGGTCCAGTTGTAGACAACTCTGGGGTTGCGGCGCTCATCTCGCTTTACTGGCCGAGGGAGCCGGCGTACAGCTTCCGGGTCATGTGGCCAGCATGGCTAAGCTACTTCTGGCGAATCAGAGCAGCGCACGGAAACGCCGTTTAGCTTCCCGCCAGAGCAGTACCTATTTATCTACTTGCACTTTGATGTTCTTTCGAACTGCTAGGTTGGCAGGAGCAGGGACCGAGCAACGGGAGCTCACCCCGTCGCGGGGATTTGAACTGCTGACCTTCTGATCGGCAAGCCCTAGGCTCTGTGGTTTAACAACCAGCACCACCCGCGCCCCTTCAAGTACTTGTTGAAGTACTTGTTGAAGTACCCTTCAAGTACTTGCTGTTAAAGTTGTTGCCGTGGAATTCCTGATCTGGACCTTGTGTGGAAATGAATTCTCTCCATCACAAAAATAAGTTTTGAAGCTTTACCGCAGAACAGTCTTAAACAGTCTAACAATAAGATAAGCATGATAAAGTAGCACATTGCAAACAATGTTCAGTCCTTTATGTAATTCAGTCAGCTTTCCTATCCCTGGTCCCAGAGGGAGATCCTAAGCTTCTTCAACCTTGCATGACTTATTTGCAACTGCTGCTGCTGCTTCTCCTAGCCATCTCCAGCAAGAACAAACTGGCTTCTCAAGTTTAAGCTTCCTTCCGTGAGAGCTCTGCAGCTTATGCCTCCAGCGATGAGTTATGAGGAAAGATCCAGCCTCCTCTGAGGCTTCTGTCAGAGTGGAACCTCTTGCCTAAGTCTAAGAGAAACTTCCCTTAGCATAGGCCAGGGGTCTGCAACCTTTAAGACAAAAAGAGCCACTTGAACCGAAGGGAGAAAAAACTGGGAGCCGCATTGTGACATTTAAAACAGTGGGGAGTGTTGGGGCACACAATGCGCCTCCTCCCCTCGCTAGTATCCGCCCCGGAGCCGCGGCAAAGGTGTAAAAGAGCCACATGCGGCTCCGGAGCCACAGGTTGCTGACCCCAGGCATAGGCAAACACCTCTGAAGTCCCATCACCCAAAGTACAATAGAACTTCCTTTGCATGTCTGGCCCCTTGGCAAGTTTGGTGATAGGATTAGGCTTTCCTTGGCCCAGCTCAGCAATTGTCACCCCTGGACACTTCCTAGAGTCCTTTTTCAAGGGGAAAATAGCTTTGGAATGGAGGAAACTGGCAAAGGAGTTGATTTTATATTATTTTTTAAGCTAGGTACCATATTTTTCAATCTATAAGACGCACCAGACCACCAGACGCACCTAGTTTTTGGAGGAGGAAAACAAGAAAAAAAGTATTCTGAATCTCAGAAGCCAGAACAGCAAGAGGGATCGCTGCGCAGTGAAAGTAGCAATCCCTCTTGCTGTTCTGGCTTCTGTGATAGCTGTGCAGCCTGCATTCACTCCATAAGACCCCCACACATATTTCCCCTTACTTTTTAGGAGGGGAAAAGTGAGTCTTATAGAGCAAAAAATACGGTAACTTCCCTGAGCTGTCAAGTTGAAAGGATACATTCAGGCATAATATCTGTAACATTTAATAACTTTAAAGATGTGCCCCCCCCTAATTTCCTTAACATAAGAAATCTATATGTGGGACAAGAAGCTACAGTTAGAACTGGATATGGAACAACTGATTGGTTCAAAATTGGGAAAGAGTACAACAAGGCTGTATATTGCTCCCCGCTTATTTAACTTATATGCGGAATTCAACATGCGAAAGGCTGGAGTGGATGAATCCCAAGCCAGAATTAAGATTGCCGGAAGAAATATCAACAACCTCAGATATGTAGATGACACAACCTTGATGGCAGAAAGCGAGAAGGAATTAACCTCTTAATGAGGGTGAAAGAGGAGACTGCAAAATATGGTCTGAAGCTCAACATCAAAAAACCGAAGATGATGGCCACTGGTCCCATCACCTCCTGGCAAATAGAAGGTGAAGAAATGGAGGCAATGAGAGATTTTACTTTCTTAGGCTCCATGATCACTGCAGATGGTGACAGCAGTCACGAAATTAAAAAGTGCCATAATTCAAAAGTGATGCTTTTGAATTATGGTGCTGGAGGAGACTCTTGAGAGTCCCATGGACTGCAAGAAGATCAAACCTATCCATTCTGAAGGAGATCAAACCTGAGTGCTCACTGGAAGGACACATACTGAAGCTGAGGTTTCAATACTTTGCCCACCTCATGAGAAGAGAAGGCTCCCTGGAAAAACCTCCCTGATGTTGGGAAAGATGGAGGGCACAAGGAGAAGGGGACGACAGAGGACGAGATGGTTAGACAGTGTCCTCAAAGCTACGAACATGAGTTTGACCAAGCTGCGGGAGGCAGTAGAAGACAGGAATGCCTGGCGTGCTCTGGTCCATGGGGTCATGAAGAGTCGGACACAAATAAACGACTAAACAACAACAAACTTGCCAAATGAACCGTATGTTGGCCCGTTTGACAAGACCAGCTACCATGTTTGAGTTGTTTTTTGGGGGGGGGATGCTTAAGCATCATTTTGGGAGGTAGCAAATGGTCACATTTAAGAACTGTGGAATCGGTTATCTGTCACATGAGAAACAAGGCCTGATTCCCGCCCCCACCCCTTAATCCTCTCTAGCTATTTGCTGACCCATCAACCCAGATGGAACTAAAAATATTCCTAGTTCCCCGAATTCCTGTCAAAACTATCCCAAGGTGGTGTCAACCATAAATTTTCTCTACAATTTTGAACACATCAGATGAATTGATTCAAATCAATATTCATAAGCATGGAAATGAAAATGCTCCCCTAAGTTTCCTTGGTTGTCCACTTCCAATCTCAGCTCTTGGCAGACTGTTTCTGAACTGGGAGGCATTGGCTGGTTCCTGTCACCTGACAGCTGGAGGTTTCCAGAGAGAGAGTGCAGAGTGCTGAGGAACCAGATGCTGAAACTTCAGGTAGAGTTCAACAACACAGGTGCTTGCTATATGTAATTTAGAGACAAAGAATCCTTTATTTTCAGTCAGATTAAGAACCATTTCCTGTCTTCTTACCTATGAATTACATTTCTGTTCCACACTCCCCTCATCAAGCCCACCACAAGATATATTGCTTTAACGCACACAGCAACCCTGCGAGGGAGGTTTCGCATAAAGATGGTGACCAGCTTTAAGTCGCCCAATCAGCTTCACGACTGAGGAGGGATTTGAAATGTCCCTGGCATTTGTGCA